AAAATGTTTAGTATTAATGCTATCTTTTGTAAAAAAAAAAAAAAAGGTATTTTAAAAAGTCAATTTTTTTTCAAAGGTTCTATAGTTTTTTTGAATTATTTAAAAATTTTAGGATAATTATTTATATAAAGAATATTTTAACGTCTTATTGTATTAATGAGATTTTTAAAATTTTATGATTGTGAATTCTTTTAAATAAAATTTTGTATCTTCATTGTTTATAATAATGTCACAAGAATTTAATTAATTACAGAGAAGTTTCTAAAATAATTAGCATACAACTTGTTGTATCATTATTTATTAAAAAAAATTTACTAGTATTTCATGTGATTATTTGAATAATTTTTAAACACAAAGATGTCACTAATTTTTATTTCAACAAATATTTTATTCTTTCAATAAATTATTAAATTTATAAAAATAAAAAAAATTCAATGACACATATAATAAATAAAAGTTAACAAAACCATAGGATCCATACCTTGTCTTGTATATTGTTTTTTACACATTCTTTTTAATAATCCAAATTTGGAAATATCTTGATTTGGAATCAATTCAACTAAAGTACTTGCTTCATTTAGTCTATCTTATAACCATATATTCTTGGTGGTAAATATATATATTTTTGAATAATATTATTGAATGTTTAATAATTAATGCACATGTTTAATATACCAAATGTTTTACTTAAAAATAATAGAAATACTTCAAAAATAGAATTTGTTAGGTCTACTAGTTTATTTAGCCACCAATTTATTATTCTTTGATCTTTTTGAATTGAACTCGATTAAGTTAATGCATAGCATTTCTTTGGTTTTTGTGTTTTATATAAAATTAATCTTATAATTAATTTTTAAATATAAAAAAAGTTATTTTTATAAATTATTTATTAAAAGCATTTCAAATTCATTCATTAACTTAAATTTTTATTAAAACAAGAAATAAAATTTTGAAATTGAATTTTGGTCATTTTAATATTTTCATTATTATTTTAATCAAATTAATTTTATAAAACAGTAAAAAATAATTACTTTCTTTTTATATTATTTTTTCTTATTATTTAAATTTTAAACTTGTTTTCATAGCTAAGTAAAATAATAGCAAGATTGTCAAGTAAAATAATAGCTTGTCAAATTTTTCTACTATCAAAAATACTACTTTAAATTACTATCCAAGTTATATGCTATTATATCCTAAAAATATAGTAACTAACATTGCATCTATTTTCCTAAAGCTACAAATTGTAAAAGCTTCTTAAAACTTTATATCCTTTTATTTGAGTTTTACGACCTTTATTACTTTGTTATTTCTATTATTTTTTGTATTAAGATAAAATTTATCTTTTCTGTCCTATTAAAAGATATCTTGAGTTCCATTATAAAATTTGTATATTAAAATTAATTAATGACCTATATATTAATCAATGCTAAAATGTTAGTTTTCAAACATGTCATTCTATTTATTTTTGAAACAAAGTAACAGTTGTTTTTCTTTGGGCAACAATTTTTTCTTCTAAACTTTAAAATCTCTACACCCAACCATAAATTTCTTTCTTATTATTTTTTAATAAAACTCTTTGGAAATTGACTTCTTTATTAATCCATTTAAGATTATTCAAATTTGTTTTTAATAAAGAACTTATGCAATATTCTTCTTCTTTTGTATTATATTTTGAATCCTTATCACTTCTTATTTTTAGATTTAAAATAAAGTTTTGGCTTTACTTCCTTCTATACCAAGAATAAAATTATAATTTTAAACAATAAAATCTCTAAAAACATCATTCATGATTTTACCATCTAGAATATTTTCAAATATTTTTTGCAAGTCTATTAAAGAATTTCAATAAATGCCTATATAATACTAAGTTTTATTAGCTATGAAATTAAATTTGATAATTTATTATTTATATTTTACCTTATAGTATTTAACTTGAGCCGACACACATGCTAAAAAGTTAGTGTTTGTTTAAATTGTGATACTTATGTTATATTTCTCAATAACTTTTAGAATTCTAATTTTACAACTTATTCTTAAACTAGTCCTAGATGTCCTTACATCATTACTCTTGTACAACTTTCGATAGGTTATTTAGAAATAATCTTATCCATGCTTACTTTTGGACTCAAGGGTCCAAACTTAAGATTATGTTATATATCTATTTAACTACTTTTATAATACTTGCTTATAATTAATGAAATGAATTATTTGAATTTTATTAGAAAGATTAACTAAATTTAAGCTATAATTTTTATGTTAAACTCTACTTAACTATGATTATAGTATTTAAGAGCATTATAGAAGCTTGTATTGTATGAATATGAAGGTGTACAAAGGATTAAGTTATTAGATTATATATTAATTATTCTATTGTTAAAAAATCACATGTAGAATTTAATATAAGATTGGATTTTAAAGAAGTAAAGATTTATAATATTATCTTATTTTAAAATTAAGAAGAAATAGAAAAAATAGACCTTTTAAATTAATAAGCTTATAAAAATAATTATTTCATGATTTAAACTTATATTTTAAAATCTTTAAAGTTTTATCCTTAAAATAACTTATTATCATTATATTTAATTATATTATTTTAGAACTTAAATACAAATCTTATATATATATATATATATATATATATATATATATATATATATATAGTTTAAATTTGTAATTTATATAAATATATGATGTGATTTTCTTTAAAACTTTTGTATTCAAAGTTGGTTGTTTGTTGATAAGGTTGAATAAACTTATTTTGTTTTATTTTTTTTTACAATTCTTGTAATTAGAATCTTTTAATATTTGATTATATGATAGAAATGAAAATATTATTTTAATTTTAATATTCTTTCTTAATATTACTTATTATTTTTTAGCCTTTATTTGGAGACCAAGTTAATTATTTTCACCTAAATAATAGACAATATTATCACAAGTAAATAAATAAATTAAAGATTCTTCTAACATATAAATAATAAATAAAAATATCCTAGTTTATTTGTAAAGTTAAGATTTAATTTTAAAATTTACTTATTACAAAGAAAATAATTAAAATATTCCTTCTATGCTAACACATAGGAACTATCTCTAAATTGCTCTTGAGTATCATTCTTTGTTTTATTTTAATTTTAAATTACTTTATTAAGGTTAAAAAAAACTAATTCCTTCATGGAAATTTCTCACTCAATCTAACTTCAATAACTTGATACATTAATCTCTTAATTTCCTTGTTCACCTATGTCTTGTAATATTCTACTATCACCAAGTGAGTCTTTACCACAAATTACACAAACTATAGATGCATTACTCTTAAAATAAAACTCTAGATTGCACGTAATGAACTTGCTTTTTAACTCCATAACCTTAACTTTATAGCTTCTTATATTTATAATTAAACTAAGTTTCCACATAAAATTCTACTTGAGTTTGTGTATAACTTAAGACTTATGCTATGTATTAATAAAGTAGAATATTAATTATGCTATATATTAATAAAATAGAATACATAGTAAGACATGTCAAGACAAGATAGAATATTAAATATAATTTTTTTATTAGAATTTCTATTATGATAATTATAACATAACTTTGTGGCTATTTATAGATTTTATAGTAAGTTTTTATTACTATTAGAATATTGTAAAAATACTTTAATTCCAACTACATTAACTACCAAAGATGGTTTTAACCACCTTATCTTTTTAAGGCGGCTAACCACTTTATCTTTTCACACTAACTTCTCTTTTCCCAGTCCTATTTACACTAGCTTTCTTATAATTTGTTTTTACACCAAGTCTTCTCTTCTTGTCTTTTTTTAATATAAAGCTTTTTTTAAAAAAAAAATTAATAATGATTTATGTCTAAAATATACCTCCTAATTCTAAGATTAAGAGTGGTTTATAAAATTTGGTTGCAATAAAATTCTAATTTAAATCTAATTCTCAAAATCTTATAATTAGATATCATAAAACTTGTCACTTTATTTGATTTAGATTTTAATCTTAATCTTGATTTTGCTTCATAGTAAGTTAAATACTTAATTCTAATTGTTTTTAAATCCAAACTTAATAATAGAATTAGTAAATAATATAATATTATTTTAAAACTAAATTTAAAACTAAATTGGTTTTTAAATTTTTTTTAATTCTAGAATTTATTACTTAATTATATATGATAGTCTTAAAAATAAAAATAAACTAAAATCTCATTAATAGATAATCAAATATAAAAAATAAGAATCATAAGATTTTCTATTTAATCAAAAAATAATTTAATTATAGACATCATTCATCCATCTTATGCAACAATATGGCTCAATTTTGTTAATGGTTATATTGTGTATTACTTTTCTATAGAGTTTTTTACTTTATTCACTTGAATTTTTTTGTTTCTAATATAAGTTAAACATTTCATAATAGTAAAAGAAGAAAAACGTGTATTTCAAAGTACTAGTTTGTATTTTCTTTATAAAATATAAGATTTATTTATTTATTTATTTTTTCTATTCATATATTTTTTGTGAAACTTTTTCAAATTCTTAATACATATAAATAAGCAAGAAAGTATTATATGTATTTGTATTACCTTTATTGCTTACTTATGTGTATAATACAAAGACTTTCAAAAAGACTGTGCCCATCAGTTTTAAGATGTATATTAAGAATTAAAATAAGTATTGTACAGTCAGTTATACTCTTTTTGATTTGAATTATACTCCCTTCTTCTGTGAAAGAATAGACAAGTGGCATGATTTGTACACTTCTATAATTTTTAGAAACTCATTCACCAATCCATTCTCAATACCTAACACCTCATATTGTATTATATATAAAACTAAAGCAGACGGTCTATCACTTTGTGTAGTATTTTGGCCCTCAGTATTTGTTACTTGAACACTAAAAAAAATCTCCTACACACCACAAATGATTATAGAATGACGTTGACATGATGTCAAGCAATCTCAAACTTATGATTCAATTCAACAAGAGCTACGTGTGTGTATTGAATCCATGTCTCTAAATTTATGATTGAGATTGAACAAAATATACAACAAAATTCAGCAAGCATAGAGACAATTTCTCTGAGCACACAAGTGTGAGACATTGACACCTGGTTACAATCCTTTTGCCCATAAACTGTACAAAGATATCCAACATGCTAATACACTGTCAACCTTTTATGTCTCAAAACCCTAAAATACGTTGCGTCGTCATGACGACGAGTGTGCGAGAAGCAGAACCTCGCTGTTTTGAGTCGGAAATCAGTGCAAACTGTGCATGAGATTGCGGCAGCACTACCTCCTGGTGTTCTTAATGCGGGAGAATAATTTTGATCCTACACCTAGTATGCTCCCAGGAGCTTTTCGAGGCGATTCGGGAAGACCTCCATAACGATCCGATCTCGGAGACTTAGGTGGCCTCCGAAAGGTTTCGCTTTCTTTAGACAGGGAGGAAGATGACCGGCGAGGTTCAGAACTTACCAGAGTGTTTTGCAAGTTTGCCCAGACGTCTTGGCTCACAGGAGCGGGACGTTCTGCAGGAGCTCTCGTCTCTATGGAGATTCCTGAATTTTTTGCAGACTTTTGATCAGCTTCTGATTTTCCGGGTTGTTCATCACTGTCAGGGGAGGATTGCATCACTACGGGTTTTTCGACGATCTCAGCTCCATCGGAGAACGATTTGTCGGAATCTGGATCTGAATCTGAAATCGGATCCGGAATGAAAAAACTATTGAGAAATCTGTACAAATTTCACTTAATACTAATTTCTGGCAGCAAAGCTGCGTGCAAAAGGCAACAAGATCGAAAACTGGACCGAGTAGCTCGTTCTAGCGCATGGAATGTATTAAACTTTCTCTAGTTGTTTGCTGATCTAATTTGAAGATGCGTTGATTGTGTATGTGATTTCTTCTAGTCGTCAATTCTAAAATGCATCAACTTGTCCACAAGCTACATTTAAATCAGCATACTGACGCCTAGTGCCTCACCAGATCTGACAACGATGCGCGAAGCCTCCAGAAGAATCTCCTCCGTCGCTAGAAATTCATCCGTGCTCTGCAACAATCACAAAACCAATAGACTGTGAGGAAAACCATTTCATGCTGAATCCAAAAGCTTTTGTCTCTAAAAGTTGTGAAATTTGATGGTCGGTTGTTGATGACCTACCATAGGCTTGAGGTTGCATGACATGAAGACGTTGAATGAGGTCATGCCGACCTGGGAGACATGGCAGCGGGGTTTCTCGTCGTCCAGGGAGGCTCTCTGATGCGAGTGTAGCATCGATCTTACTTCGGATATTATGGTCGGTAGCTTCTCCAAAGAGGTGAGCTTCACTGGAATGTTCAATTCTAGGCCTCGTGTTCTGACGCGCGACCTGTTCACTATCACCTGCACCGCACCACGGCATTGGTCCATGTTCAAACTTAGAGAGCGTGGGCATCTTCACATTGTTCCTTGCAATTGGGTAACCGTGTTTATAATATTGAAAGGTTTTTGGTCAAGACGAGTATAATTCTATTAAAAGAACTCGAGTTCATCGTAGTAGCCGTTGCAGTACCTGGTTAGAAAAGAAAGAATTGGGCACAACGGTAGGGAACTTGTCATGGTTCAACATCTTCGTTGAGTGGAGGCCTATCTCCACCACCTGGCCACTCAAATCCCCCGCCTTCATACCCGGAGTGAGCTTGGTCAGATAAACGAGCAAAATCGTGGAACTTCAAGTTTGATTCCACAAGAGTTTTAAAATCAAGGTGATATTTCTTGCCAGAAAGTTGTCATAGAATCAATAAACTGGTAAAACTTACAGTGATGAAGTCGCCTACAGAAAATGGCCTCAATAATTCAATGCCAAGCCCGCTCAGCAAATTTCCCAGTAGGTCTCGTGCCGCGAATGCAGTGGCCACTCCTGCATCAATATCAGAACATAGGAGGTCGTTTCTCTTATAGGATCTAGGCCCGTATCGAGACTGGAAAGGAATAAAAGGAAAATTCCAAGGTTTCCGGACAATTGCCATAACACTAAAATTATTGTGTGATCTGAATGCCATTGCGAACAGTTTACGTTAGATCTTTTGTGTTCGCTGACAACCGACCTAGAGTGCGTAAAAACCGAGGGCTTGAACTGAATGGAAATAGGCCGTATGGAGTCCCTGCAATAGTTTTGTGTGTAAATACCTCCGATTCCACCAACTGTGATGACTGACTGCACTCCAACACCACATGATTCAGCGAACGCCATGCTTCCCAGTACCAGCAATACGATGGAAGAGAGACGATCGATAATGCGATAACGCTCTCTATCTTCCTGAGTAAGAGATTTTCCCGATATGATGCGCGTGAATGCATTTCTCTTGTAGAGGTAGAGAAACCAAATGAAACTAGCCACTGTCACTCCACTCCGGATTTGGAAGAGGAACTGAGCTTCTAAGGATCGTGGCGCCATCAAGTACCCTCTGAAAATTCCAAAAAACAAAGGGAACCATTAACAAAGGCCAAATCGATCACCAAAAAATTCGACAAATCTCCTTGAAAATCTAAAGCGGGCATGAACTTCACTGGCAGTACTCACAGATAACAGAATGTCATAGCGCCTGCTAACAAGCGAGCCGGATCTTCCAAAGCACTAAAGACACTTTGATCGAACGGCACGGGTTGGGCGTACGTTGGTCCGAGCATGAGTGCTTTGGGACCCGACTCGACGTAACTATGGCAGCGACGCAGCAAATTAGGGAGCACGAGCCAGGCTATCAGAGAGAACCCTACTGCCATGCTACCCGGCAGCAGATAATCCATCACACTTGCTCTACTTAATGGATCCATCATTCTTCACTCTTCCGGCCTGCAGTAGAAAGCTCCCACTCTTTGAAAGCTTTAGATGCTCCGCTCCAGTCCTCTTAAACCTGCAACCTCCTCTTAAGGTATGCCCGATACATAGCCATCTCTCCTATTTAGCTCCTCACTGCAAGAAGAGAATCACCAGAAAGCTTCAACTCGCTTGAACTTCATAAAAAAAATTGTTGATGTTGTTGTTGTTGTTGTTTTATTTTCATTTTTATTTTTATTTCTCCCCAACAGAGACATTGTCCAGAAACTGGTCATCTCCGGAACCCTGCACAACGCCCTCCTCTGTCAAAACCGACTACAGCCAGTGCAGACCAAGTCCCGTGAACTGTAGCTGAAGCCAGCGAGGACGCGCAGCAGCTTCATAGGAAGTCACGAAGCACTGGCAACGCCAATGAATTTATTTCACACCAAAAAATGAGGTTCGAGATAGCTTACGAACAGGATTGTAAGTTGGATCAAGCTGCTGCTGCTGCTTGCCACATTGTTGTCCCCATCCCTGACACGAGCCCGACTGTCCAGAATTTGGGCCCCCTTCTTCAGAGTGCGGACATAACTGCCAAGCAGCCACCAGCTCTGGGAGAGAGTTGCCCCCGTAACAATGAAGGGGAGTGACACGAGGCGTTCGCTGACGCATCCTCCCATCATCATCCTTGGATTTCTGACACGTGGATGGTCCGGATGGGCATTTGACCTGCTCCACGTCCCCCCCCCCCCCTCCCTCCCTCCCTCCCTCCCTCCCTTTCAAGCTTGAAAATAGTGTGCCACCCGAACTCCAAATGGGAAACCCCACCTCATGAAATTCATGAACGAGTTGTCTTTCTCTCGGGACCTGAGTGGGAAGGCAATATTTGACAATTTGGGCGTGCAGCAGCTGAGGTGGGGCTTTCAGATGGGGAGGGGGGAGGGGGAGGTTTCGTAGCAGAGTTTGTGCAGGACAAAAGCGGGCTCCGAAATAAGGATGGCACAGGTTTTGTTGGTGGGCCATAGGGGGTGGTAGAGTAGAGTGAGGACAACGCGGGTCCTTTTTGTTTGGTCACAACTTTGTCTCCAATTGGATAGGTAGCCCTAACATCAGCATCAACGAAGAGCCTCACAAAGCTTCTTCGTTGTGCCGTAGGTTCCCATGAGAAAGGGTTTTCAAGGCGCTCATGGGGACCTACGGCTGCGCAGTTCTGTGAAGAAAAAGAAGAAGAAATGGGATGATAAAGTTAAAGTTAAAGTTATAACCCACCAAGTCGAATATTCATCCAGGGGACGATAATGCCGATGGGAGCTACTTGAGGCCGAGCATTGAGGATATGACACGTGGAAATCTGAGTAGACCTTGGAACCCTACCCCACCTGGGGTCGGTATTGGCTGCAGACTGCCGAGCTGGACATATAAACCGCCAGCTGAGTTGAGAGCAACTGTGCCACTCTCTCGCCTCCGTTTCAAAGCATGACGCGCGAGGGAGCTTCCGAGCGCGGGATTGATGTGGACTGATTGATTGATTGTTTGTGGATGCGCGGTTGTACTGAAGTTCTAAATTCGAATGGTTTTGCATTCTACCGCCAGAATTTCAATTTTGAGTTTCGTGGTGCTGTATTTTGGTTATTCTTATGTGCCTTTATTGGTTGGATTCGTTGAGGTTCAGTGTTGCGAATTTCCAGAGTGCACTAGTAATAGATGATTGAGTTTCATGAAATGTTTACGGTGAGACAGTTGAGTGTTTGAGGCTGTTGTTCTCTCTAGTAATGGATCCTTTGGTAGAGGATTATGGTGTAAATGGAGAATTTGTTTCGTTTCTTAGCATGTTTTGTACATGGGGTGGGTGTGGGAGTGCACATGGGAATGTCTGTGCTTAAATTGGAAGAATTGGTTGAATGTTGTGCAGTAAATTGGCGGAATGTAGGTGAAGAGCAAGCTTCATGATTGTGGTTCATGCTGAGATAATTAGAATGGTTCTGCGTGCCAAGTTACGGTCGCCTCGTCCTCTCACAACACCGCTAGGTTGAACACCTCTGTTCCGTGTCAATTCCCCTGCATCGACAACGTCACCTAGGCAGTTTCGCAATAACTCTCCGTTGTGGAAATGCGATCAAATTCTGGGTTCCTTGCCGAGGGACTCGTTGGGTAGCAGTGATGGCGGTGATGCTTCTTCAAGGAAAGTGAACAGAAACGTTAGTGGAAGATGGGGCCCTTGTGTCATCTCTCAAATCGACTGCCAGACGTGGCCAGCTTGTAACGGCAGAATTCAATGTCACTACTCTAGTTCACGGTTTCCATGGTTTGGATGGAGCCCAAGCAAGCGCCGGGGTTTCGCTTCCAGTAGCAGGAATGGTTCTGCGTCTGCTTCTTCAGGAATAGGCCCACCGGCTGCTACTGCGAGTGGCGCGGAAGGCTCTGCATGTGGAGAGCCTTCGGGTGCCATTGTGAAAATTTCTGAGTATGCACGGAAAGCTGTGGACTCATGTGATGAGATGTACACAGGAGCATGGGAGGCGTCCAGACAAGCTGCAACCTAGATGTTTTCTTCTGTGACCAACTAGATGGATCCATGAGGTGGTGGTGTTGCCGAATTGGTGTTACCTGCCAGCACTGCCGTCGGCGTGTCCTTAGTTGCATGGCTATTACTTCCGGCTGTCCTTCGGAAATTACATTCCACTGTCAAGGCAAGTCCTGCTGCGCGTCTACTTGGGCGGCTGCCTCAGGAGAAACATCCATATGAGCTTAGTGCGTTCAGCGCTTTGGAGGGACCTGCGCGCTTGCTTGCCTCCGCAGTCACATTTAGTTACCTGTAAAATTCTGTTGACTTTCTGGCATGTTAATGCACATTTAAAAATGAATTTTAAACTTTAACGTTATGGATGGTTCCAGCATTCAATTAAGGTTGTGTGTGACATTGTGGCACCTGGATCAATTGGAGCGCACTACTTGAATCAATTATGCAGCAGTGCGTCAGTGATTAGTGTGATTTGATTTGTGTATTGATCGGTATACGTGCAATGCTTTCGCTTGTATGCTATCCGGAAGGACAATCACAGGCCAAGAGAAGGACAGCTATCTGGCCATGGATAGGTTATCAACTATAGCTTGGTTCCTTTTGGGAGGCATGGCGTTTTCTGAAGCCTGCGGAGTAGCTGTGCAATCTATCCTAACAGTTGGAGGAATTGAAGATACTTGACTGGTTCGTAAACCTTTTGGTGTTTAATACAATTGCAAATGATCCAAGTCACCAGGATTCACTTCTTTAAGAAGTGTTCGGTCATCCCCGAGCATGGTAAGCATATTCGTATAATTACCTTTCTGCCGATTCTAACTGTTTTGGAGTGAATCAGGAGGAACAAATATAAATTTGAATTTTTAGCTATCACGTGTTAGCATCGCTCTTAAAATTTTAATTCTTGTGATTCTAAGCGCAAAAGAAATGCTCTGGTGGTGAGTGCAGGAGTTGCTACTGCTTTCGCAGCTAGAGATATACTGGGAACCATTCTCAGTGGCGAGGCATTACAGTTCTCTAGACCCTTCATAGTTGGTGACATCATATCTGTGAGCCTCTCTCACAACTTGCTTAATGAGCTCGTCTTTGTTCTCAACCATTATCTGACCAACGAGTCATCCCTTATATGTTTCTTTTCAATTCCTCATATCTTGTTTTACTTTGTTCAAGCGCATATAAACTTTCTTAAGTATAGATCGTATTCTGTCTGTTAGGCCGGATCCGTGACAGGACAAGTGGTTGATATGGATCTGCACACGGCGCAGTTACTCATCTCTGACAAGCTTCCGATTGTAGTGCCAAATTCATTTTTTTCCAATCAGATGGTTGTTTCCCCAGCGGTAAAGTTTGTAACATGTAAATCTTCCTGGATAGCATCGCTTTTCCATTTGTGAGTTTGTCAATGGTATCAACACATTAGGTGGACTGTGTGATTTTACATTAGAGTACTACATCAACTCGTAGTGTAAGTTCAAGAAATGCTGAGTAGTCTAAGCATTATGAAATAGATTAAACTCTTTTATACATTCATGAAGTGAGCACTGGGCTTTGAATCGTCATGGTAGCGATGGAGATGTAACTTCAGTAAGAGTGGTTATTTATTTTTGATTTTATTTTTTTTGCAGGTCATAATAAATAAATCTCGTGCACGTTATCGAGGTTTATCATTCAACTTACAAGTGAACATCCAAGACCATGAGATGATACCCATCATCACAAGCGAGATTAGCAAGTTGATAATGTCCCATCCGAAAGTGTACTTGGAGAATGAAAAACTGCAATGCCATGTATCTCAAGTGGGACCTACATCTTTGAATATTGTTGTTACGTGTAATCTCAACCCAATGGTATTCTCATTTCAAATTGTGGATGTTTCACCAACTTAAAACTTTTGGATGATAAAACAGTAAAGCTCCTCATGACAGAAAGTTGAAGATGCAGGGTCAGTGCTTTTGTATAGCCCACCAGTACAAAGCGTTCGCGTGGTCACGTAAAAGTATTTCAATTTCACGAGTTTTTATTACATTTTCCTGAATGCTTATAATAGCCAATGTCATCATTTGGGCACTCAGTACGCACTTTTGTAACTCGGTTGCTTAATCTCACCTTACCCTTTCTTTGACATGAAGGCAACGGACGATTATCTGGCTGCTCAGGAAGATCTGTTGATTGAGGCAGCTCGAATTTTCGCCAAGACAGGTGTGAAGTTTGGCAATCTTGTCTGAACTTTGTAAGCTTGAAAACTACCTGGCACATTCAGTGGGATTGTTCCACCCAAGCGAAAACTTACAGATTTGCGTTATTCAGCACAACCAGTCTGCTTTTTAATTGACTAGTATTTAATTGCGATCGGACGAAAATTAAAATTAGTGCATAAACTCCTATACAATGCTAATGCAGTATGGAAGAAGGGATTCCATATTTGCTATGGTTTCTTTTAATAGATGTGATATCAGAAATTTGTACTAATCTTGTTTGAAATTTACGTGACTGCAATGTAGCAAGTGAACGGCAAATAGAATCTCTGAACATTATGCAAATTTCGTTTGATTGTAAGAATCTTATTCACTTCTCATTTCGGAAGTGAGCTCGCATTTTCTGTCGTGAAGAATTTTGTTCTTAAGTGTTCTGACCTCGTGCCTAGTAGCATTTCTGACTTGGAAAACCTCAGTGCTATATCAATGATGTTTCTAATTGCTTTCTAATCAATAAAATATCTATCCATGTAGCCTGGTTCGACTGACTCAAACTTATAGAACGCACTGTCAGACATGATATGTACTCGTTAGTGGATGTTGCCCACGTGTGGACATCATAAAAATACACGAATTTATTGTGCTTAAACCGTTGGAGAACTCTTTATCGCTTTAGATTACAAGAGTATCATTAGAATGCGCATCTGTTGATGAAGAGTCGATTATATTTCATCTTCATCGTTCCTTTCTATGGTTGCTTGCGTAATCCAATGGAATTCCACTTCCTGTTCGTCTACCCCAGGCACCGATGGTATTGATAGAAGAAGAGCCTCGGCTGACTTCCCTCCAGCCTCGAATTGTGTCATCCAACCGCAGGTTTCCCCTAAATGACACCATCCCATCACCAGCTTGGCAGCTGGATCCACACGCGCCTCCCATCGAACCTGCATCAACCAATCAACTTCAGAGTCTCGAACTTATCTTTAAGTGAGACCATACAACCAATAAAGCAGGATAGCTCACACCAAAAATATGACATAATATGTGCGACTTCTTCAACAGGCACAACATTGATGTTCAAAAAGATGTATAGAGCAAGACTAACCTGCGTGGTTAAAATGTGTGTCTGTGCCATCGTCTCGGGTTGAAAATGTTGCAGGAGTGTTAAGGTACCACATTGCCAAGTTTGACTGCGAGGTGACGTGCTCTAAAACCACAGAGTTCCAATCCTTGCGTCCTGGTTTGTGCTCTTTATGTCGATGGCGAGCAAACAAGTTACCAAGATGTTTGCCTCCAAGGTCTGCAACCGACCTCATGGTAGCAATGCATAGGAGGAGAACTAGAACTACATCTTCTTCTGGATGGACTTCCATTGCTGATACTTTCCAGTTGAATAATGCAGTTGCTTTTCCTTGTGGTGCTTGAGCATTGTAACGAACAAGCGTGACGAACCCGTCTTCTTGCTCAGGAGTTGCATCATTCACTAAGTATTGCAGCTTTCGGCCATTGATCAGGCGCACCTAAGTTCATAAGAACATTCCAAGCGAGGAGATAATCAGATCGCAGTGAAAGATGGATTCACACTCCACAATGCAGAATCTTTTTTACAAAATTTCAGCTGTGACGTCTTGAGGTGATATTTTACCAAGCTTGTGGAAGAACCCGTGAGACTAAACTCAAGGTTCTGCTCCCAGTCATGGCTATCGTAGAATGGCTTGGAGATTACGAGAGTGAGCCCCGTGGTAAGCGTGGTGGTGAGTTGCCAACTCATTTGATCATGCTCAAGCTCATCAGCACATGGTACAGCACTTCCCACAACTTTCCCTGTCAAAGAAGTTTGACGATGTCCAATTACATCAGTCGTGCATTTTTCAATGTACTAAATTTGGAAATTTGAGAAGAGAATATGACAAAACATACCATCTCATTTCTGATAATGTGATGAGGCTCTGCCAAGATTAAAACATTCTAAAGATGAGTGGTGATTGAGTGCTATACCCGAAGTAAAACCGGTTGCCCCCGCAACATAAGTCCAGCCCCCCTCGGAAATATTGATGACACGCTCGTGCCAGTCAACGCCAATTGGTCTGTCCCCACTTTTCCTCCATATCCCCTTAGCTTGCCTACCTCGCAGAAAAGAAGAAAAAATATTTCTTTTGAACATACTCTGTGACTTCCACACAGCTCAACTAACTTCATTAGGCAGATCTTACAAAGAAGTAGTAAGCAGTGGCACATGGATTGCAGTTTTCTGGCTTGCCTGATTCGAATAACGAAGCATTCTCTACCAAAATGGTTGAGAACAGTTCGTGTGATCCAACGTCCTTGCTGAGGTTGGTACTTGTTCATACGCAGGATGAGGTTGGATAGCATGGCTCCCGCATCATCTGTCACCCGATCAGGCACCGTCTTCAAAAGGTAAGGTCCCTGCAGTGAAACCGGGATATCTCTACTTGAGTACCCGTCTAATACAGAGATAAATTTCACGATGAAAAAACTATAGTTCAATTTTTTGAGGTACTTGCTTGTACTGGAGGAGTTATGGATGCAGAAAGTCGGAGTTCAGGGGCCTGACTTCGTTCCTTCACTGCAGCAGCTCTCATCTTATCATTTAAGGCAAGCACTGTTTCAGTTGACAGCATGGGACAGTTTTGGAGGTTCCCCCATGTGAGCAGGGTCGACCCAATCAGTTTTGACTGCTTCAAGGTCCGGAGACACCCTTTCACATGACAGCGCAGCTCGAGGACCACTCCCACTGTTGCCACTTCACATTGCAGAAGACATAGCATCTCCCAGTGTAGTTCTGATGCTGTGTGTAATACTATAGGGGTGTCTATTTTCAGAAGTTTGTGGGCTTCCTTCGCTCGAAGTCGAACAAAGAGAGATTCTATGTCCACTTTGACGTTTCTTTGAAGATTCTTCTCTCTTTTCATGAATATACACACATGCACAATTCTTCGGGGAACAAGGAGACGAAACCTGGTATTCACGTCTGGAGGGCGGAAGTTGGAAGATAAAGCAGCTGGCACTCTTTCCAGAATCTCTTGGCCGTCATGGCCATCATGCGGGGGTGCAGGAAGATTCACAGGTTTGGCTCCCCTGTACATAGTGCCAGCTCTTTCGTAAGGCTGTCCAAATGTGTCTTCCCATAACCTACTTGTGCTGTCAAAGCCCTCTTCAAGTTCCGTGTGAGGACCTCTCTCCATGCTGTCATCGTGATGTATCACGCATCCCATTAGTGCTTCGGTGTCTCTAGCGTATGCTACAGGCGAAAGCTGCAACGTCACAAGATAATACAAATATTAGTGAGTGATTTATGCTTTTGAACCTCTTGTTCATTCAACTGACATATGTCTACATAATTCGAATATCGATTAACAATGTGAAAAGAGTTACCTGATGGGCATGCCACATCAGATCAATATCGTACGTTGGTACGCATACAATATCTCCCCGTGACTTCTTCACAACGTGCAGAAAGCATCTATACCGTTCAAGTGCTGCAAGTAAAAATCTCTCCTCCCACATGTAAGGTTGGGAGACCTGTTCAGCAACAAAGTCACGTTTTCTAAGTTTCTGAGGTCGACCAAGATAATAGCATACTTCCGTACTTCCAACCTTTTTATCTCACCACTAGGCGTTAAAACTAAATTGATCATTAGCCAATGATGTAATTCTGAATGTGAATTTTATTAAATAGTGGGATTTCCTTGCAATAAAATCTTCTTCAGTTACGAAAAGAAAAAATTAAACCACTGCCACGTAAATATCATTACCCAATTCCAGCTTAGTTCCGAGTGATTCTGTCTCTCTGACAGAGAGAATTCGTCAATTTCTGAATAAAAGAAAAAGGGACGAGAGAGAGAGAGAATCTGGGCATGCCGCTCACCTGGTAATAGAAAGTGCTTTGTCTCGCTATAATCGCTTCAAGCTCATCATATAAACCGGACTTGGGAAGCTCATCTTCCTCTGACCGTTCTGAGAGAGTTGTTAAGAACAATCGTGCAATGTTGTCGTTGAAAGGTTCTGCTGGGTATCGCTCACACCATAGATCTTTGCATCTTTTGCGTGCAGATTCTTCACTGGGAGCGTCTAGCAGAACGGTATACTCTACAACGAGCCCAAATTTCGACATACAGTATTCTCTGTAGCTCAACTGCAACAACCACGAGCACAATGGATTGGATTAGTTCCGAGTCAGCATCTCAGACTCATCAAGCGACTTGATGATTCTCCTCCACGAAGAAAGCAATACTGAATTCAAGCGTCCAGGTATGCCCATGATATTTGTGGTTACTGATGCACGGAAGTTTCTCGTGTTCAGACTGATATTTTACCGGGCTGAGACAGTGACAATGCCACACCCACTGCACGTCGAGTGGAGGTAGGAGAGCAAGATTTGGCGTCTGTGAATCTGAGGATGCAGCATGAGCTGACGCTGCCTCGGCTGCCAATGGCATCCAGCACATGGCATACCTGGGAAACGAAGCCAATCGACGTCAGTGATTAGAGAAATAAAAAGAAGGATGTATAAGACTTCAATCGAGAGGTTACGGAAAGTTTGAATCATTAAAGATGGGCGACCTTCGAATGGCATGGGCCAGTGCAGGACCACGATGCAAATTCTCGATGCTATCGATGGTGCGTAGAAAACCCAACAGAAGCTTCGCTGAGGACACCAAATCGACCGAAATTTCTATTCTACAAGCACAATTCAGCTCTTTCTGGTGATAGGAAGCCGGATCTAGAACCCGATCTGGCCCGTGGTGTTCATACACTCGATTTCGTAAGGCTATTGCGGCTTCTGCCGGCTCCGATGCCATCGATTCTCAAAACCTTCGATTCACAACGTGGCATACCCAGTTTGTGTGGCACTCGACTCAGAGTTGCAAATTTGGTGGCAATTCCATCCAGTTCACAAATTTATTGCCAGTCAGGAGGCGTCACCTTCCGATGCAAGCTCCCGAGAACAAATTATACAAGCTGAGACTGCGCGTACCCACAACTACACCGTGGTGTGTTTTGACAGTTCTTTTGAAAAGAGCATTACACGTATTCAAATTCAGTCCCTATCAAGCCACGTCTGTTTGTCGCTGATATGCAATCCTTTCCCTTTTTTTCGGGACCACATCCGTAATGCATGGTAAAGGCTGCGTCTATTAATTGGTTGCTCCATGAGTTGAACCTCTCTAACACAAAATTATCACTTAATTCTCCTCGTCACGCTGTCTTGGAACTCATACCAGATACGAGCTACGAGAACTAGTCGAATATACTACTTTGATTGGGTTCTGGAGTATCGATTGCACGGAAGAGGATCTTCATGGAGAAGGACAGCTAGGAGGCTGCCCTTGCATAACGTCTCTGGAAAGAAATTAAAAAAAGGATCGCATGAGGATCTTATTCTTCTAGTGCATTGGCTGGAAACTCGCCGAAGCTCCGCCACATTGGATCTCCACACCGAATTAAGAAAAGTACTCGGCCTGAGGGACGAAAACTGAACCATAAATGAATTAAATAAAACGGCCCCGGTTAGGCCGTCACATCGAAAGTTGTTGGAATCGAGATTTTCAAATGGCCAATCATGTTCAGTGGGTACCTCCTGCAGCCCATTTCTCGTAAGATATCTTTACTTCAAAATCGGGGTCTCCTCCGCCTTATCATTTTCCTTGTCATCTTCATCCATTCAGATTTCGTGTCTAATGAAGAAATTCACAAAACTAGATGATACTGTAGAGCTATTGGCGTTGTCGTTGATAATTCATTTGTAGATTATTTCGGTCTGGTCTAAGTGGCCCCCATGAAGAATAATGTACTGCAACACTGTCCTCACAGAGAATTAAACTTCAGTGACTGACATCAGTCAGACCATATCTGATGTGCATTCTAGTGTTAAATGTACACAGTTTTCCCAAACATGTGGAGCCTCAGTGCGAGTTGTAACGGCCGCAGACTTACATCATGAGTATCTAGTAGCACTCTACCCTTTCCATTAATCGTTGAAATGATAAAAAAATATTCTTGTTACCGATCTTTAACCTCTACCAAAATATTCGAGCATATTTGTCATAACTCAGAGCGCTTGAAACCGGAAACTACGTCGGTTTGTTGAAATCTTCCCAACTTGGGTTCTAAGGAAAAAGGACACAGCGCGGCAGAACTTTATTACAAATCTTAATTTCTTCAGGGAATCCTAAAATGACCCGTAGAATGCATTTAACTATTGTGACTGTTATTAATTTTTAGTGTTGCAGTTTGTCATCGTTAGATGCCTCTCAATGGCATATTTGTGACCTTTTTATTCTCTACGCCGTCTGTTGCAGTGAATCGTGGTAATTTCTAACTATAGAAACAACAACACTAATGCCCGTGTTCGATATTTTAACCGTAATTTCCAGAAGCTTAGCAGCAGCACCCATATCGTGTTGACATGGAATCGGATGAAATAATTCCCATACCTTTGCACTACCACCAATCTGCTTTCCTCTAATCCTGTAAAATTAGCTACTAAACTTGAAATGAATCGTTTCCCCATTTGTGTTCAACGTTAATTGTAATGAACTTTCAAACTCGAATTATAATAGCATCATAATGGTTTGCACGAAATTCTTCTGAACGGAGAGCATCTCTGCGGATATGTCGAAGTGTTGAACTTACTCCACACTAGATTGTTTTAAGTAAATTCGGAGTGCACGATGGAGTCAATCATGGGTTAGGGCAAAGAAGTGGCAGACCCGGAGTGGAGGTACAGAGCTTCGCAGAATGGGGATGATGCATGCCAACTAACACATTCTGACAGAACACAGTCCAAATTCCAGCTGGCCCACCCCCACACTCTTTCCCAGACCTTTCGCTCGGTCTCTTCGTCAATTTTATATTATGAACTTTTTTTTTCACATTTTGATGCATTTCGTCCAGAAGATAGTGTATACGTGGATAACTTGGGCAACATTGTCGTGACTTCTATGAATATACACCTTCAGAAATTGATGCTCCTAAATTGTATTTCCACGTCAGATTTTCATTCACGGAATCCAATTCAGAACAGTAACAATTAGGTAATAAATTCTCTTGCGATAGCCTATGTAGAAACTCTTCAATAAGATGCGTATGGCTTCATCAACTATTCATGTAGAATTTTTTTTCCAAACGCAGACGTTTACTGAAAAGAAAATATTTTCAATTAAATTTTTCTCCAGTTTGAAAAGTCTCGCTTGCTAAAGGAACAACCGAAAAACTTGACAATATTTGCCATTACAATTTCCATGTAGATAAACCTCGTCATGGTGAGAAATCTTTTACGATTTTTTTTACTCGTCCAACTGAACCAAGGCGTTATTTTAACTGGAGTTGTGTTCGCTGTAACACATAGATTTGCAGACTCGCTTTTGGAGGATGAAGGGCTCCATTGTTCCTCCCCAACCTCCATCTACAAATCTCATGACCGACAAGACATCTAGTAAGGCCCTAGAGCATCAAGCATGGCATGCCATGTCGGACATTGGACCCGAAGATGGGTTCCACACTTCCAGGTGTCTGAGCGCAGAAATCCCCTTGAAAAATCTTCGCTTTTACCTAAGATGGACATATCAACATATGTTCGCTTTTATTCAACTAAAGCGCATTGATAACTCGACCCATCTTCGACAAGTGTCGGCCAGAAAATAAGCATTTCACGAGATGCTGCCCTCGCGTTGAGAACAGAACGAACGATGTGAAAACACGAACTGGGTCGTGAGTGAATTGAACGTACCAGTCTGATGATGAATGATCTCACCCTCACCTCACCTCATAGTAGGATTAAAATCACGAGGATTGTAATTCGCATAGGACAGTAGCTTGATTGGTTAAAGAGTGATTAGTTATCTGTTTGCTTTTTTGTTTTCATTGAGGACTTCGTGAAGCTTGATGAGGGAGGGATACAGTGAAACTTGATACGTTAAGGTTTGCTGGATTTAAAATAATGAATGCTCTTGCGGAGAGTGGTGCTCAGGGGCTATTATTAATGAAGATAACCGAGATGACGTCAATTTTGATTCATGCGAAGAAAACATTTCCTTACAGTTGCACCAACTGGTCTCCAGCTTAAAGAAACAAAGCTGAACAAAAAGAACAGGAAAAAAGCTTCTGAAAAATCAGAAATCAAATGCTGGCAATGAGAGTGAGAGCAGGCTCATAAAAAATGGGTTCTAGCCAAACCACCTGAGATAATCGCAAAAGAACAGAAAAAGATTGTCATTCCCTAAAACAAAAACAAAAACAAAAACAAAAAAAAGAAAAAAAAAAGAAGAAGCTGACAGCAGCGTAGAAAGGTATTCGAGTGTCGTGTTTCTCTTTGCTATAAGTTAAATGAAGCACATCTCGTTCATCCCGCATCATCTAGTCACGCTTACAAACCATGGCAACCTTTGTGTGGAATCTTTAGCAAGAGAAAGACTCATCCGGCCTGGCCTACTGTGTTTTGTTTCTCATATCAAGCTATTAGCTTGTCTACGAACGAACCCAGAGCCCCCCCCCCCCCCCCCCCCCTCAACCACCACTACTAACTTTCCGGGAAGTCAATACAATGCACCCCAAAAATCTGTCAATATTAACAATTAGCTTGCTTGCTGAACTTGAGAGGGTGAGAAGCTAACTAAATTCCGCCCAACTGCACTCGAACTCGTCGATGGGGAACTCGATGGCGGGCGGATCAGGAAACTCGATCAGGTTTCCTGGAGGATCAGGGAGCTTCTCCCAGTCGATGGCACCATCCGAGTGCACCGCAACGGCGCCATAGTTGCCGATGGGAGCGATCTCGCTCGGCTCAACGTGGTAATGAAGTGAGGAGGATGCAGAGGTCGGGTGGACAGACCCTGGCAACATCCCGCAGTCCAGCGTATTGAGGGAGATCTTGGGGTGCATGTTTGCAACCGGAGATGATGTTGGCACGTCGAGGTGGTGCAGCTTCGTGAGTCCTCCATCGTTGTAAGGTGGACTGGGTGTGCGGGTTGTGGTTCGCTGTGAGGCTTGCTGTGTGGCCATGATGTGGTTGGTGACGAGAGAGGTGGCTGGGCCTAACTTGAAGTCCAGCACGTCGGCGGATTCATGCTCATGAGGAGAGTCCAGAGCTTGGTAGTTGTTTGATGGCTGCTTTTTCCATTCACGAAACATGATTGATTTTCAGTGATGTAATCGATATAAGTGATTGCGACTAGAAAAGAATTTCACCTGGCGATTGTGAGGTCTTACCTGGGCAGATGAATTGGAGCTGGAAGCTGTTGGACTGCCTTTGCAGATATTTGACCGGACATTGCCACCTTTCGGAGAGCGTTTTCCTGTGCTCTTGCTTTTGAAGCCAGACGGTCCCAAGAAGGAATCGGTCCTCAATATGGCTGAGGATGACCACTTCTGACCTCGAATCACCTGGAAGAGAGAAAATCCCGTTAAAAATAATAAATAAATAAATAAATGAATAAATAAGAGCAAGAGAAGAAGAAGAAGAAGAGTATACTAACAAATAGTAACCTGAAGATTCTTTGGAAGAAATTATAGGCAATTAAATTATTGCTGAGAGAGCAGTTAATTTATCCTAACGAAGGTTATCCCTACGATACTTACCAGCTTCCCGTGACCATCCTTATACACGATGAGTTCATCTTTCTCCTTGAGATCGTAATATTTGACAAATTCCCCTGTAAACACCAATAGGCAGTCACTAGCTTCAAACTTAATGGACAAGAAGTCAAATATGATTCATGAACTGCGGCATTTCAACACGCCATTGATAGATGGATAAGCTTAAGAGAAACGCACCGGTACTTTCCAATACGTACATCCGGCTTTTATTGTTGGGCCACCATCTACAACAAAAATAAAAACAAAATAAATAAGAACAAACTACGTCAATTTTTATAAACATTGCAAACCCAGCGTTGAATTGCTTGAGAAACCTGAACGTGTTATCCAGGTCGTATTGAAATCAGTCACTCACTTGTATCGTAGTGTCCAATGTTTGTTAGAGTTGTAGTCCTCCATGGTCAGCAACTTTCCCTCTTTGCTGTCCAGGTGTGGGAGTTGGCATTCGGCATCTCGCTGCCAAGAACGCTTAACTGTCGTCAGAGACATGTTCTGAAATAGATACACTTCAAATTTGACAACCACCACGAGGCTTGAAATTTCGCCTCACCTTAGGGAGTATGATGCGGCCCAGCTCGCCGACGTCCGTAACTGTGAGCTCCTTCTTCAATAGAAATCTGAGTGGATCTGCCCATGACCGCGCCTTCACAAACAAATAATCACATGATGTGAACACGCGGCACAAATGGACACACCCACAAACGAGTGCGAAGGAATGCGACGAAAGCGAATGCCGAGCGTTCAGGAATTATCGAAAGGCTAAGAACGCTGCTATTCTGAAAAAGAAAAGAAAAAATTCAAAAAACTCGACGTGGCAGGGTGATATCGTTGACAGGCCGTTTGAGTGTCACACCACAGAATGACAGCATCTCCGAGGAAGGAAAGAAGAGAAGAGAATGTACCCAACGAACGCCTATTCTACGATAAGAGGAAACGTTTCTTGGGACCTGATTGTGCCAAGATAACTGGAGAAATTAACACGTCGAACGAAGATTGTGGTGTGTTTGTACCGGCTTTGGAAACATAGAGCTGTTGGACCGAAACAGGGGCGCCATCAATGCTCCTGAGCTCTCCTGGGAGAACCCATCGCCAAAGGCAGAAGTTGACCTCACCAACCTGCTAGCCGAGCTCGCCTCGACATCTTGCTCCCGCAAATTAAGAGACCCAATTTGCAGGCTACTGCGCGTGGCACGCTTAGGCGGGGGCTCGCCTTCGCTACGCTCAGTAGTCATGATGCGGGGACCCAACGACAGACTGCTATCGTCAAACGTAAAAGCTATCTGTCTGTCCCTCTCGGCTTCGGGGGAGCTGCCATGGCAGACTCCGGAGAACGGATCAGTAGCTACAGTGGTACTAATGAGATAGGGATCCGGCGACTTCAGCAAACAAGATCCATACGTGCAGGGCGCCGAGGCCCAGAAGAAGAGTCCTCCATCGGACACCGAAGGCGCGGAATTTACGGACTCCGGCTCAAAATTCATGATTCCCGTCGACAATGACTCGATCTTGACCTCGGTACTTTCCCTAAGCCCTCCCAGAATTACCCCATTCCTCAATCCGTGCTCAGAACCACCAAAGCTTCCCCCTTCGGACGCAGCGCAGCTCAAGGCGTTGCACAGGTCATTGTTACACTCGTCATCAGCTACTCTCTCCACCCCTCCTCCTTTGGATTCCACCACCATCCCCCACCGCTGGAGGTTACTCTTGGCCGTGGTAGTGGCGGTGGTGGTGGTGGTCGATTTCCATCCCTCAAATGGCGACTCACCCGCCGACCTCAAGCTTCGCCACACGGGTGCCGCCTGCTCTGTCAAAGACGACGCCGTATCCTTCCCGCAGTGGTCTCTTCCTCCCCTACATCCACAACTACGCTTAATCCCGCTCAGCCTCCCTCGCGACTCCCCGGAGCTTCCTGTCTTACTGCTCTGCGCGGCCACTATGACGCCGCCCACTACGTCCATGGTAGCCAACCGCATCCACCACTCCCCTAACTCACAAAACAAATTTCTCTTCACACCCAACCCCTCACCTCAAATGACAAAGCGCACTGGCCCTCTCTCTCTCTCTCTCTCTCTCTCGGTGAAGAAGGAAACACAGCTAAGGATAAGGGGTTGAGTAGCGACTGGAAGAAGAGGAGATGCCGGTAGTATGCGGGCAGCAAGAGCAGCAGGCTCCGTTACAAGGTTGCTGCTCGTCTTCCATTAGAGTTGGTGCATATCCCCTGGCGTTGGCACAGAAGGTGTGAAAATGAAGGATCGACTGGCGTTTGATGCTGTTTTTGCATCACTCGGCCACCCCCCTCTCTCCTGTTCTGTCTGTCGCTGCCAATTAACAGGACTGCCCACCTCTGATCCCCGTTTTCTCCCCCTCCCCCCTCCCTCTTCTCCTTTCTTCCCTTCCCCTGCCCTGCCTCCCTCCCTCCCGCCCCACCAACTCGGCCCTGTCTCTCTGTCTGTCTCGCTGTCTGTCTATAGCTCGCGCACATCCGAGGCGGTACTGCGATGCACAGCAGCAACGGGGGGGGGGGGGGGGGGGCAACCCCCTGAGTTGAGAATCGCGTAACGGTGAGATCTTGCCACCTGGTCCTATGCGTTCGACGGTGTCCAGTTCCAATTGGCCCCGAACTCAAAAGGTTCCCTGTGTAGGCCTGTTCTCGCACAGTGCAGCCATGAGTTAGTGGTGGCCCAGCTCTGAATTTTCATCCAGATTGATCCCACCCCCACCCCCACCCCCGTTGTTGCGACTCATCAATTCATCCACCACCACCACCACTGCTACTGAATCATCCCCCCCCACCACCCCCCTAAGAACCACACCACACCCACAGTCAATCTCCTGACTATCCAAGGAATTTTCTCCACCACGTAATCCCACAACAGCTACAAGCACTCGCACTTGCAGGAGGAACGCAGCGCTGCGAACTACGAGATTCCTCTCGCTGCGTTTTAAGTAAGTAAGGAATAGTGGCGTAAGATGAAGGGTCACACTTACTGTTCCAGAACACGACCTCCTCCCATCTCTCTCGCCCCGCTCCGTCCTCGGTTTCTCCACCACCCCAGTGACCAGTTAGTGACTCTCCGAGTGCGAGTGCCCCATCTCTCCCACTCCACCATGGCCAACTCAGTTGCAACAATCCACCCGGATATTTCTTCCTTCTTCCTTCTTCTTCTTCTTGCGCTGTCCTTTTGTTTCTTCTTCTGCTTCTTCTTCTGCTTCTTCTTTTGCTACTTTTGCTCCTTTTGCTGACGCTGATGCTGCTGCTACAACTCTTTCCTCGGTCCTCATTCCAGCACATTCCTGCTGGTTTAACCTCCCCCCCCCCCCTACTAGATCTTCCCCAGGCTCGTCAACTCTGGCTGTATGCAAAGTAAAGCTAAGCTTGATTCAGGGCCACTGACAAATGGAAGCATTGCTCAGAAAAGCCACACCCAAGCCAGTGGGAAAATTCTCACCACCCATCCACCCACTCACACACTCACTCACTCCACTCCACTCCACTCCACAGAGAGAGGGCATTTTTGCAGGGAGTGTGTCATTTTTGCAGTGCCAATCGGCTCATTAACCAACACTGGCTGTATGCGTTGCTTTTTGCCCTTTTGTCCAGTTGTTTATTTTATTCCAGTTTGGGATTGATTCCTTACAGTTTTGGATTATATGTATTAGCATTCCATGGACGACATGGGGGTTGGTTCGTTGCTTTTTTTTTGCTGCTGCTGCCCCACTTTTGGAGCCTCATTCTGTTGCGGCTTCAAAGGAAGGGGAGGGGGAGTAGCGCTGCTTTAATGGAAGCAAGAGATGGGAGTGATGGATCCATCCTTGGAAGAGGGACTGTGCCTCTCCCTCTCCTCTTGCCGATGCTCATAATTAAATGACCACGCAAAAGGTGCGGTGAATCTTCAAAAAGTAAAAGTAAAAAGTAAAAAGTAAATTTTTTTCAAAAGGTAAAGGAAAAGCCTATTTGGAGTTGGAGGAATTCCACGTAGAATTGGGGCTCCTTACCCCCCCCCCTCCCTTTTATAATGACTTTTTATCTGACAATGAAACGATTTTTTTTTTTTTTTTTTTTTTTTTTCTTTTCTTCTTTTTAAATTTTTTTTTTTATTGTAGAGGTGTGAAGTCATATGGTGCCACAGAAAGCACCCCACCTTGCACATCAGTTTGTTTCACCCTCATGACTCTAAAGATCCTATTTGACTCTTTTCCTCTCATAGTGATTTGAGTTCCATGTATGTGTGAGGAGTATATATATATATATATATATATACGTGAATTGCACCTTTCTTTATTTTAAAATTGGCATTGTGTAGAGTGTCTTATGTCAAAATTTTGCAAGTAAATTTTCTCTATTATTTTAAGTTGGTGTTTCATTACAAAGTGTTGGATAGTTTTGGTGTTGATGTATGGTTGTTAAAAAGTGCTTCAAATGAGCAACATATTTTTTAAATTTTATTTTTTTGGGTTTTTAAATAAATAAATAAAATTGTTGGCTAGTGTCTAATATAATTAATTACACCATGGTTTTCTTTTTTTCAAACTTTTACTAAATCAATCCACCCATCTTAACTATCATGAAAAATAAAAAATAAAATGATTTCTAAATTCTTCACTATTAGATCCAAAACCTATAAAAAAACAACCACATTTGTCTTGATTACCATATTCTTTATCATGGATAGGTTGATTTAGTGAAAACTTTGATTTATATAACATTTTCCTATATGTGTGTGTGGATATATATATATATATATATATATATATCTATTTGTTTGTATAACATTTTCCTATATATATATATATTTTCTCTATATATATATATATATATTTTTCCTATATATATATATATATATATTTGTATAATATTTTTCTATAGGTGTGTGTGGGTATATATATATATATATATATATATATGTATATCTATTTATTTATTTAAATTATTATATAAATGATTCATATTTAAATTATATTTGATAAAATTTAATTCTATAACTAATTAGAACAAAGACATTTTTGGCAGTAAAATAAATATTATATTTTAAGTTTAAAATCTACTCATTATCATAAATTTAGCTCTTTAAAGTTTTGATTTTGATTTTTCTTTTCAAATATTTTAGTTTTTTAGATTTTATATATATATATATATATATATATATATTTATTACAACATGATTATTGATTTATTTCTTAAAACCTAAAAAATCATCTTCCTGTTTAGATATGCTCAGATTTTTCAATGAAGTTATTAAACTCATATTCTTATGTCAAATGATTATACTTACTCACCCATAGTGCACATATTTTATGATCCTAAATCATTACGAACATCATTACTTTTACAAATGTCTTGGAGTTCGTAAATGTACAATTGCAATGCTTGTACTTTAGAAAATATTGTCTTGGTTATATTCTCTTTTTATTGTATAAAAAATAGTGGTTTTCTACCTCTTTGATTAGTACTATGTAAAATAACATGGACGTACAACAATAACAACTTGTAAAAGTTCTTTAAAATCTTCATGTAGCATCCATGGTCTTTGAAAAGTTTTTCTCCTATATATTAAACTTCTTGAAGAGTTTCTACTATCTAATAGAATCTCATCTAAAGAAATTTGGACTAAGATCCTTTTAAATCTGTTTACAAAGGATCATAAAGGATTTATGTGAAATTTATAAAACTGCATACTTATCTAGTATATATAAATATAAATATAAATATATAAACATGATTTATTATATTTTTGTTCACTATAATTCTTAAAAAATAACTCTGGATTTTTAAAACTTATTAAAATTTTCATGAAGGCAATAAATAAATAAAATAATTTATTATATCAATGATTATTATTAATTTGATAGTAAAAAAATATAATCTCAGAAAAAAATATTTTATATTTTTTTTTTTTTGTATTTCTTAAGAAAAAATCCAAGACAATATCATTTGGAAAATAAATATAAATCTGTAAATTGAATTCAAATTTACAGATTTCAATACTTAATCTTAGTATTGCTAGCATCCACAAATTTTATAAAAATAAATAAGCTATAAAATTATGGTTTTATTGTAATTTCACATATTTATATTTTATTTTATTTTTATAAAAATAAATAAATTAAGACATATTTATTTAACATTACATTTTTTGTTTTTAAAATCTAAATTGCTATTATTGTATCATTGCCAACATATAAACATATCATTGTTGAATAGATAACTGATGTATAATATCTTATGCTATTTATTTGTATTTTTCTCAAGAAACTAGGTGAAAGTGGAGAGAGACATAAAATTATGCAAATATTTTCCAACTATCGTCAAATCATTTCTATACTTTTGTAACATAATTGCATAATCACTTAAATTTGATGCACAAAAATATGTTCTTATATATATATATATATATATATATATAAGCAATAATAAAATTATAAAATAGTTCAACATTAGAAAGTTTGAATTACATAGTTGTTTTAAAAACAATTGTATTTAAAGAAATAAGATTCAAAAAATTCAAATTTCAATAATTAAGAGAAATAAAAGAAATAATAAAATATAGATATTTAAAATTTGACATATGATATTAATTTTTTTTTTATTAAATTTAATTATTTTTCTTAATTAATGATAAATTTTGATTTTAAATTTCTAATTATATTTGTTATAATTTAATGCCTTCAATTCTATTAAGGTTTTAACTTTGATTGATAGACATTTATATGTAATAAGATTTACAAATTTCTTATGCCAAACTAATTAACTTAGATAATATTTTATTTTAAAACCATGCCCTCTCTAGTATTTTAAATCATTAGATTTAAAACATAAATGAGAAAATTGGTATTATTTTTTTTTCTTATAAATGTATATAAGATAGATGATTTTAAAAAATATTTTTTTACATTTTTTAGAAAAATAATTGTAAAACAAAACTTATTTCTGATAATTTTATATCTTTGATAGTCTATTTGTATATATTTTTTTGTTAGAAAAGTTATTTCTAATCTTTGTAAGAGACATATATTTATACAAACCTGATATAAAATAATTAGAATGTACATGCCTTTAAACACCTATAATAATAGGTATTTATTTTTAAATTTTTGTTTTCTAATACAATTTTGAAGATTATTAATTTAGCACAAGAGTACCATGTATTGAAAACTTTAAAGATAAACTTATTCATGGTTCTTGTCAAGGATAAGAACTTGATAAAAATAAATAAATAAGTAAGGATTTTTTGAAAGAAAGATGACAAAATAGAAATAACTAAATATGTATATTAAGAAAGAAACTGGAATGGCTATTGCCAAAAGATAAGAAAACTAGTTACCCTTGAAACTAGACTATAAGCAAGAAAGGAGTTGACAAGAATGAAGAAGGCTTCACTCTTGCCTCTATATATACTATCTACATAGGAGCTATAAAGGCGATGTTCTATAAGACCTTCAAAAACGTGTTGACTTTATACAACACGTATCTTAACTTGCAAGGCAAGTTTTTTATGTGGACACCACATAATTAGCTTTTTTTGCAAGCTACCAATATGTGTGGCATGTGGTTAACTTGTTGACTAAGTTTTTAACCTACCAATCAAGTATAAACACATGTAAAGTCAAAGCAGTGTCTATGAAGCTTCTAAGAAGCTTTTGTAGAAGATATTATAAAATTAATCTCTTTTTATCTATTTCAACCTATTCATATCACCTAAGTAATATTTACAATAAATATATGTACATGACATTATTTTCCCTTCTAGGGACAAGTTCCATGAGGAGCAGTGATCACATATTGAAGAAGTTTAAGATATGGTAAATTATATTTGCCACATATTCTGATCTTTGTTCTCTTTGAAGATGATTGGTAGGGCCTCTCAACTATCGATAGTATTCCATATCAGGGCGGAAAGACCACCTAGTTAATTGATCGTTGTTGAGGCTTTCATAACTTCCTTCAAATAAAACATTTGGAACACCGTCAGGAGTTGTTTTTACTTCTAGTAAAATCACCAAATATCGAGAATCCCTTTCAAGGTCGTGATACCAAACGCATTGTATCTCGCCATCTATTTGAGGAAGAACATGTCGTTCTTGAGGATCTTCATCTTGATTGCGTTGTCTTAAAGGTTGTGACAATCATAATATCTTATCTGGTAGGTCAGCAAACAAAGGCTCTTCAGTCAAACTCGCTGGTTGTTGGTTCTCCATCTTTTTACTATCACAACTATAAAGAAGCTACAAACAAGGATTGAAAGTAGAATGTTATCTTACCTAGATCTTTTTTCTTTTATAAAGAAGGTTTTCATCTTAATTTTGATTGATGTCATCAAAGAAAAGCCTCCACTACTTTTGCTGCATTTGCAAGATTCTTTACTAGCTCCCATGTGCGTTCACTAATATCATATCCACACCAATGGATAAGATATTCTAATTTATTTTGGCGTCGCCTTGAATCTAGGACTTCTTCGACTTTAAATTCTTCATTATTGTCCACTTCTACAGGAGGATGAGGAGTTTGTCTTCTTTTTGGTATATTCACTATCTTGTATGGTTCAAAAAGAGAGACGTGGAATACTAGATGGATTTTCATATGCAACCGAATTGATTTGTGCAGAAATAGAAAATGGTCCA